TAAATATATACATATATAACATATATATTATCTATATACCTTATATATATATATACATATATCTATATACATATACCATATACATATACATAGTGTGTGTGGTGCTCGGGCTGGTTCGGGCTGTGTCTCGCTGTCTCGTAGACGGCCACTGGGCTCACAGGGGGGGGGGAGGACCTCCAACAAGCCGTTTAGGACAGAGATTGATTACACATACTATACAGAGATGCTGTATGAGAAACCAATGTGAGTTTGGAAAATTGCACAATATAAATCTATTTAGTAGACCTCAACAATGGAATATGATCAGTAGAAATTGCCATGACATGGGACCTTTAAGAGATGGGTGATGTCATTTGTGTACTTAATTATAAGTACTTTTACTGTACTTACAGTAAGCAGAATTCTAGGGTATCATGAGTATTTTCTGCTGTTTTATACTATATTTGATTTTGTTTGTCTGAACACCTTGTTTCTCTTGTGCATTAAGAACACTTGTGTTAGGGTATGATTTAACAATAAAGGTTATATATACAGTATAAAATACCACGTACTGTCGGCCCTCCCATGCCACCCTGGCATGACCTCTTGCCCCCCCTTTGCCACCCCATGTAAAATGTTCTAGAACCGCCACTGCAGCCGCGTAACCAATTTTAGTTGAACAATGCCGACAAACAGCTTTGGTTCGGTCCACCTGTCTTTGTCCGTCATCCTTGTACGTAACTGCGAAACCAAAATGTTCCCAAACCGGAGGCTTCAATGATGCTGGAGGATTTTCGAGCTCAACTTTATCTGCGTTCGCCATTTCGCCAGTTCCTCAAATTAAATTAAAACTAAATTTGAACGCATCCCTGTGACCAGCTCTCATAGTATGCCTCTCGTCCAATGAAATGACTTGGTCACTCTATAGCCGCGTTCACACCGGAGTACTTTTCACCGTACTTTTCGCGTTTAGTTCCGTTAGTACCCCTTATGTCGCGTTCACACCAAAAATCGTACTTAATCTCGGGTACTTTTACCCCCATTTTTAGAGCCCGCTGAGAGAGCGTACTTTCCTGTGGGTGAAAAGTGCCCCAGTGCTGATTGGCTGGGCGAATTGCAAACCACGCCCGTACAACTGTGAAAATGTTGTGTGGAGCAGCCATTGTTTTTCCTCGCTACAAACGGAGAGTAGTTTGTTTTTTAACGCAGTTAAATTATGGCAAACATCAGGAAATCATCGAAGCAATGGAGTGATGAGGAGGTATCAGCGCTTCTGGACATCTACACCGAGGACGCGACCCAGGGAATGCTGCTGAAGCCAGTACCCAACTCCAAGATGTTCGATTGTTGTTCGAAGAAGTTGCTTGAGATGGGAATCGTGCACAGCGCCACGGCATGCCGGCTAAAAATAAAGAAACTCCGGCAGGACTACAAGAAAACTAAAGACTGGAATAATAAAAGTGATAACGACCGGAAGACCAGTAAATGGTACGACCGCTTGGATGCTTTGCTAAGCCACAGACCTTCATTCTCCGGTACAGCATCGAGCCTTGAGTCGGGCAGTATGGTATTGGAGGCCGCTCCAACGGCGGATTTAGCGGCGGACCACGACGAAGGTAAAAGCAACTACATGCACTGGGGTTTTAATCTGCACAATAATGGTCTCAGATGTACTTTTATTTGCTCAGTAGATCAAGCTAGCCATGCTAGGCTGAACTAGCTAACACTGGCCCCGAGCTGGCTAATAACATCTAGCTAGCTAGATATTCTCGGCCGCTATTAAAACGTTTTGACTAGTGAATAACTGTGCAGTGTTTCTGTAATTTGCTTCACTAACTCATGGCACTAATCGTGTGTTTCAGGCGAGGAAAATCATCAACTCTCAGGATTGGAAACAAGCGAGCTTTGCCTTCTAGATCACAGCGCTTGCTCGTCTCCCTTACCAGCAACCAAACGCAAAGGTACACACACTGTAACTTTGTCTTGAAAGAACTTTACGCATGGAACTGATGTTCACAATCATGTTTATTTCCTTCTTGGTACAATTATGAAACAGCGTGAAAACGTATTCGCCTAGACCGGCATTTACACATTTTCGCGCCTTTTTACTCTCTCACAAAACATTGTAAACATCCGGGCTAGAGGTCACATGACTTCCGGTAAGAAATCGCTTCCACTTGGAGTATATATCGCCACCTACTGTTGATTTATTAAATGTTTATACTAAATCCTTGTCCTCAGACCAGTGCTTTTGAGGAACTTGAAGATCAGCTTGTTAACTTCATTTCTTGATTTACTTTCGTATATTGCCTTGAGACCCATGTCCTTGATGTTGAGTTGTTCCAGTGCAGTTTTCAGAATGAGTCTTTGTCTGTTATAATCCGGGCAGCTAAAAAATACATGATGTATTGTCTCTGGTTGTTGATCTTGTATCTTGCTTATTTTCCCCTCTTATGAAAGCGGACACAGGATGCACTTTTTTCTTTGAGACCGTCCAGGCGTTGGAGGACCGGCGTGCCGTGGTGAATGAGTCGCTGCGTGGAAATCAGATGGTGCTGTTCACCAAGGCCCAGGAAACGGAGGACAAGATGCTCACCTCGATGGAGCGCCAGGCAGAAGTGTTCAAGCAGCAGATGGAGCGCCAGCAGCACCAGGATGAAGTGTGGGCGCTGCGCCATGAGGAAGCGTCGGCGCAGCGCGAGCGGCGCCAGGAGCGGCAGGATGAGCGACAAACTGCATTTAGTAACAGTTTATTTGGTATAGTTTTTGTAAATACTGACACACGACACACAACTTTGCACTAAGGTGTGTATGCTGCTGAGAATATCCCTACACCTGGGACAGTTTATTTTATATTGTTATTACTGTTATCACTTTATTTTATATATAATGTTTACTGACATGTACAACTGACACTTTATTTACATTTAAAAAATTTCTATTTACTTTTATGTCTTGAGAGTGCAATAAAGAAAACCGACATGGCGATTAAACAGATCCTGTATCTTGCTTATTTCTCCTGACACTTTATCTTTTGTGACCTGTGTAGCATCCTATACATCACATGTAAGTGATTATTCTGATACCATCATGTTTCATCGGTTATAAACTGGCAAAGCTTTATTTGTCATTTATCATCAATGTTGCAACCTTGTGGAGGAATGGCAGGGGCACATACACAAATATGATAATTTATATCATTTTAAATATTATTTGACCTAAACTTTTAATTCCCCCCCATTTCACACAACACAACATGGAGTCCACTATGGGCCAAAACTAACATGTGTTTCCATAGTGTTTATGGCAGACGGATGCAGTGGGTCTCAGGAAGATATATATATATATATATATATATATATATATATATATATATATATATATATATATATAATATATATATATATATATATATATATATATATATATATATATATATATCATTAAGGTGGGTTTGCTGCTGAGACTCCCTACACCTGGGACAGTTTATTTTATATTGTTATTACTGTTATTATATAGTACAACTGACACTTTATTTTATATTGACAATGTTTACTGACATGTACAACTGACACTTTAGTTACATTTAAAATATTTCTATTTAATGTTATGTCTTGAGAGTGCAATAAAGAAAACCGACATGGCGATTAAACAGATCCTGTATCAGCCATCCTACGGTGAAACATGGCAATCATGTGTGCTTTCCGTCGGCCAATCCTTTTCCTAAAGCTTTTGAACTGCCTTTGATGCTGAAGAAACTTTGCGATTATAGCATTCGACGTGTGGCGGCTCCGGATTTGTGTCGGACGCCTAATAGGCTCAGGCTCTGGCCGCATTAACGAAGTTACAAAGCTGTATAACATGAGCACAAACAGCACAACTTCAGTCGACTCCATCTCCATCATGTCTGAGGTCGGAAGGTAAACAACAGACAGTATACGCGGGAAGTTTTTCTTCTTCTTCTTCTCTTGTTTTGTAGCGGATTGCAAACAACTTTAAGGTGCTTACCGCCACCTACTGTACTCGCCGTGAAGTGGTTTGTGGCCTGCCAGTAAAGCCAAAGCAGAAGAAGAAGAAGTGACGTCAGCGGCTCATTTGCGTAATCTTCCCTCAGGGAAAAGTACTCCGGTGGGAACGCGATCTGTACTAAGTGCCCTGGGGTAAAAAGCGCCGGGGCTCTTAGTGCCGGAACTAAGTACAGGAAAGTACTTGGTGTGAACGCGGCTCATGACGCGTTGAACCCAATGTGAGCAAATTACACTGAACGCTGCGACGCAGCACCTGAGATTACTTCCAAAAAGTTGTTCACGTTCTCAATTTTTTATGTTTAACGTTATATTCGTTCAGTATACTTCGTACACACATGTTTGGTCAAATAAAGTGACAGACTAGGCCTGTGCAGGTGGTTACAGCTACGCCCACTGTCTGACTGGAGGAATGAGATTTCTGAATCAGTTTCTTTTACTGTCCTTCTTTCTGTAGAGAAAGTAAAGAAACCGTAACTCTGTTGTTTGAGGTGCAATATATGACTAAGCAGCTTTAAAGGTCACCTGTCATGCTATTTTTAGGCAATAGCATAGGTCTCAGATATATAAAAAATATAAAAAACATGTCTATGAAGTGTTTTGGTCAAACAACCAAACAGATCACCCAATCTAGCCATGCCTCATATCCCTCTATTTCACTTCCTGTTACAAAAGTGCTGATTCTGGGTACAAACAGGTCTCTCTTGAGAATGAGACCCTGTGTCTGAATGAGATGTTCACCTGTATAAATAAAGGCTAAATAAAAAATGCTTTTTTTTTTTAAACTGAAAAAAATAACAAATAAGAGGGGGCGGAGCTCATGCCGGCTCATGCGGGACCTGGCAGATACTGTCTAATATGCTGCGGTGATGAAACGCAAGGATTATTAGAACAAGGATTATTTCTGTATGGAGCTCAAAGGCCTTCTCTCTCGCCGGTTATACCACAATGTGAGTTCCTTTTTATAAAGAGAGAGTGAATAAAGAGGGAACAGACCTGCTCTGTGGATCTGAAGCTGAGGCTGTAAAACAGCGTCCAGTAGTTTCCGGTGTCTCTCGTTCTCCTGTTTTGAGCGAGACAGTTCCTCCTCGTACTCTGCTATCGTTCTTTCAAACAGAACAAAGATGTCTTCAGCAGCCGCAGTGAGTCGCTGCTTCACCAACGAGAGCAGCACAACACTCATGTTTACTAAATCACCACTTCCTGTTAAACACACCGTTTCTCCGTGTGCTTCAGTCTCTGTTAAACACACCGTTTCTCCGTGTGCTTCAGTCTCTGTTAAACACACCTTCCGTGCTTCAGTCTCTGTTATACACACCGTTTCTCCGCGTGCTTCAGTCTCTGTTAAACACACCGTTTCTCCGTGTGCTTCAGTCTCTGTTAAACACACCGTTTCTCCGTGTGCTTCAGTCTCTGTTAAACACACCGTTTCTCAGTGTGCTTCAGTCTCTGTTAAACACACTGTTTCTCTCTGAAGCTTCCTGAGCTGCTGTTCAGCTGGACGGCAGGAAGCAGAGGTTTGGGAGGATGATGTCCCTGATGCTGTTTAGATTTCTCCAGCACCACGGGGGGTCCTATGTGGATGGCAGCTCCTTCCTCAGCAGATCCAGTTCTCCAGAATTGTCCTAATAAAAGAGAAAACAAGAGAAAAATAAGAAAATGTATTAATCTTATTAACAAAAGATGATTGCAAAATGATGACCATCCCTAAAGGATTATTTAAAATTCCGTACTGTTTAGGTTTTAAAAATGTCTATATCTATACAAAACATGTCTCTGAAGTGTTTTACTTAGTTAAGAACTATCGGAACTATACTGGGAAAAGTACTCCGGTGTGAAAGTGCCTATTGATGTGTTTTGCTCAAAATACAAATAGATCATGCATTTTAGACATCCCTCATATCCCTCTATTCCAGCCCTGTTATGCGGCTTTCACACCAGCGCTTTTCCCGTTCTAGCTCCGTGCTAGAGCTTTTCTGGTTCACACCGCCCAGAGCCCGACTGGTGCTGCCGCTGCTGATGTCACCGTTTACATCGCTGATTTGCTCCCCAACGGCGTTATGGCGCTCACTACAACAACAACAACAACAACGGGGGGGGAACTGCGTTGGGTCGATGATCGTGTTGCTTTTAATCATACGAAGCCAGATTAAATTAAATAACGACTTCTCCAACCTTATACTTTTCTCCAGAGTGCCGTGGTTCATTGTTTATTAATGTGTTTCAGCAGCATTTAGCGACAGCTGCAGTGCTGGCTGCTCTTCCACGGGAGTGTATTCTCCCGTTAGCTCCGGGTTAGCTCACACGGCTCTAAAGTATTCACTGTCTGACTGTCACACAAGCAGCTGATACATATCCCCAGTTCCCCTTAAGTGAATGTGTGTCAGTCTGAATTGACGCTGTTTGGCATCACAACGCTGTTATGAAAGTTTCTCTGGTATAACATGGGTGATGTTAGCATAGCAACCGAAGCTAAACTGACTACTTGCTAAGCCATTTTCTACAGGCACATTTTACCGGTCGTATTTTTCATTATGATTCTACTTGTGATAGTCGGACATGACAACCTGTGCAGCCCATGTATTGATTCCATCCGATAGCTGCTATAATAACAAACAAAACGTCTGCCTGCTCTCCACAATGATCAATAACAGCGAACGGATGGTCAAAGTAAGGTACAAATAAACAGAATCACACGAAGCCTGGTTAGTGTTGCCTGACTTTATAAAGTGTGGTTTTTTTTATAAGTGTGTGGTTGCCTTCTAGTCACTTTGCTCAGCGCTACTGCTTGTAGGCAGGCATGACGAGACTCTTCAGTCGACCCATGTTCAGGGGAGGTGGGTTTAGTTTCCTGCACGCCTCGACGTAAGCGACGCCGCCTCTTAGCTCCGAAGCTCTTGCTTCTAGACCGACAATTTTTTGAAGCTGGAAACGAACCGGATTCCGGAGCTAAGAGGCGGATTTAAAAGTAGTAACAGTTGCAGCCGACCTGCAGGATTCAGGGAGTTTGTTCCAGATGGTTGGGGCATAACAACTATACACTGCTTCTCCATGTTTAGTTCTGACTCTTGTACAGAGAGCAGACCCGTCCCAGAAGACCTGAGACTGCTGGATGGTTCATACTTTTGCAGGAGATCGTTAATATAATTTGGTCCTAAACTATTTAGTGCTTTAAAAACCAGCAATAGTATTTTAAAATCAATTATTTGGCAGACTGGAAGCCAGTGTAAAGACTTCAGTACTGGACTGATGTGATCCACTCTGTTAGTGTTTGTGAGGACTCGAGCAGCAGCGTTCTGAATCAGCTGCAGCCTTCCAATGTATTTTTTAGTGAGACCTGTGAAGACACTATTGCAGTATTCGAGTCTACTGAAGATGAAAGCATGGACAAGCTTTTCTAAATCCTGCTGTGAAATTAGTCTTTTAATCCTAGGTATGTTCTTCAGCTGATAGTATTCAGACTTAATGACTGTTGTAATGTGACTGTTGAAATTCAGGTCTGAGTCCATCACTACACCCAGATTTCTAGCTTTATTCGTTGTTTTGTAGTCTGCCGACTGAAGCTCTGCGATTACTTTCAATCTTTCCTTCTTTGCTGCATAGATATAATAACTTAGGTCATTGTTTTTCATAATTTGAGCCAGTGGTAGCATATAGATATTAAAAAGCAGAGGTCCTAAGATGGAGCCTTGAGGAACCCCGCATGTCATATTTGTCAACGCTGATGTGTAGTTGCCTATTGAGACAACGTTTTTTCTGTCCTTTAAGTAGGAACCAAACCAAATTAGAACTGTTGCCGAAACTCCCACCCAGTTTTCCAGTCGGTCTAGCAATATGTTGTGGTCAACAGTATCAAACGTAGCGCTGAGATCTAATAAAACTAACACTGATATTCTGCCACTGTCTGTGTTTAAGTGGATGTCATTTAAGACTCTAACAAGAGCAGTCTCAGTGCTGTGGTTTGGTCGAAAGCCTGACTGCAACACATCAAAACCGTCATGTAAAAGCATGAAATGTTGAAAAACAACTTTTTCAATCATTTTGCCTAAAAATGGAAGGTTTGATATTGGCCTATAATTATTAATTACGGATGCGTCTAGATTATGCTTTTTTAAGAGCAGTTTAATGACTGCAGTTTTCAGGGCCTGTGGAAAAACACCTGAGTGAAGAGATGTGTTTACTATGTGAAGTAGATCTGAGGCCATGGAATAATATCAAGGCAGCAGGAGGAGGTTCTCAGATGTTGAATAATGTCCTCTAGGTCTTTATCATTAATCAGACGGAATTGTGTCATGGTGTTTGAATTGATTTTAGGTAGACAGAGACAAAACATTTGCTGTACCTGATACAGAGGCACTGACTGCTTGTCTGATTTTCTGAATTGTGTCAGTGAAGGAGGCAAAGTCATTGCAGGCCCTGGTGGATAGAAATTGCTACTGACACTGGGGGGTTTGTTAGTGTGTCGACGATAGCAAATAAGGCACGTGCGTTGTTTTTGGTAATGATGTCAGAGAGGAAAGACTGTCGGGCCATTTTGATTTCCTGATTATAGAGTCTTTCTTTATAGACGTTTTTCTCCACCTGCGTTCAGCTTTTCTACACTCTGTTTTTGCTGTTCTCATGGTCATGGCTTTTCTACATGGAGATATTTTCTTGCCAGATACTTCTTTTATTTTAATGGGAGCAATGGTATCCATGACATTTGTTATTTTAGAATTAAAATGGTCAACTAGCTCATTTACTGAGACGTTAGCAGGGGCAATTGAGGAAGAAAAATTCTGAACAAACATTTCCTCTGCATTTTCAGATAAGTAACGTCTAGTGGTTACCTCTTTCTTAAAAACTGTATGGACGGAAATAGAGCTCTCAAAGAAAACACAGGAATGATCAGAGAGTGCAACATCAGTCACCACAACCTCAGAGATGTTCAGACCCTTTGAGATAATGAAGTCCAGAGTGTGCCCCTTATTGTGCGTGGGCTCCGTCACATGCTGAGTCAGTCCATAGTTATCAAGAACACAACACAGTTCTTTAGCCCCTCTGTCCTGGGGGTTGTCAACATGGATATTAAAATCACCAACAATGACTAAACAGTCAAAGTCAATACACACTATAGACAGCAATTCGGTAAAATCATCTAAAAAGCTTGCACAGTATTTGGGTGGTCTGTAGATGTTTAGGAACAGAGCTCGAGAGGAGCATTTCAGCTGAAGGGCCACATATTCAAAAGAAGCAAAGTTTCCATACGTAGTCTGCTTGCATTGAAATAAATCATTAAACAAAATAGCTACTCCACCCCCCTTTCTTATGCAGTCTTGCCTGACTGGGGTTGATTCAATAAGAACAGCTGTGCTGTTGTTTTGGTCTAACCAAGTTTCAGTTAAAAACATAAAATCCAGATTGTGCTTGGTGATAAAAGTATTGATTAAAAAGATTTTACCTACTAAAGACCTGACATTTAATAAAGCCAGTTGAAGTGTGTTAGATATACTATCACTCTGATTGTTTGTGATAAACCGTGGAGTAAGTGGAACTACTGTTACATTTGATTAATTCAAACGGATGGTTTTGGAGGTTCTGTTTTTAACCTGATTCACCAACATTCTGTGTATGTTGGTGAGAACAGAAATGGGGAGCTGCACTGGCATAGAAGCCTCTGGTCGTTGGGTGGCGCCAGAGAGCGAGATGGCAGGTGTCAGCGGCATCAGTGAATAAAAGTTTCTGGTAGTTGCAGTGTTATTGAACATGGCCCTATCCAGTTCTGCTGTGGTATGGCTATATATCACTGTCAAATACATACAAAATACTGTCAATAATCATTTAAAAAATGTATAATTGCAAGAAAATATATGGTATGGTAACACTTTATATTAAGGTACACAAATTAACCATCAACTAGTTGTTAATTAACATGCATATTAGCAGTATATTGGCTCTTTATTAGTCATTATAAAACACTTATTAATGCCTTATTCTACATGACCGTATTCTACAAGTAATAAGCCATTAGTTGAGAGTTTTTCCAATAACCCTCTAATTAGTGCTTATTTATTGCAAGTAAGGAAGTTGTTGTACATGAGTTTTGTATAACAGATATGGGCCTAATGAGGCAGTAGTACCACAAGAATAGTAATTCTCCCATAATAACACTTAACAAATATGATCTATTCTTATGTAACAAGACATGAAACTATAAGTGTTATATAAGCTAAACCTATCACTCCTTCTCAGGGGCGTCGCCTGGACCTGAAAACATTCGGGGCTTAGCCCACAGTGGCGGCGGCACTACAGTGGCATTTTTCACTGCAACACTCCCCACACGCACACACACAGTACACCCGCGACTGTTACAATGAAGGCTTGATAATCAGCTCACGGCATATAGGCAGGGGTAAAGTGGTATTTTTTATGAGTGGGGGGCTCACCTCCTCGTGGGGGGTCCGGGGGGATGCTCCCCCGGGAAGATTTTTTTTTTAAATGTTGAAGTTAAAAGCATCAATCTGGTGCACTTTGAGAGCAAAATGAAGAGATCTATGGATACCTCTCTCAACACCGGCAGACAGCAGAACTGTAAACAGATGTACTTTTTCTTTATAGATATTTTACTAATCACTCCCCTTTTAAACTCTATTCTTGTTTTACTGCCATATAGTATTTCATAACTGTTTTTCCTTTATTCTCTTTTTTAATAACTATAATGATCATATGAAGGTGTGCCGCGGAAATAATCTTTTGAATAATTTGTGACCAAACCATTTGAGACCCACTGAGATAACTTAGACTAAAGTTAACTAAACACTCAGAGAGTCCTTTAGCTCACCTGAGTCTCTCAGTCTGACAGGAGAGGACTCTCCTCCAGCTTCTTGTGGAACAAACAGCTCCTTATGTCCGTTAGTGCAGCTAGCTAACCAGATGCTAACAACACGGTCCATGCTGACACTGGTCCCTCCCTCCCTCTCTCTCTCTCTCTCGATCACACTAAATGCGCTATTGCCACCCACACACACACACACACAGAGCCGAGCTTGAATGACACAAGCACACGTTTATTTCCATGCAACTCTCTGATTGGTCTGGTGTCATGCCTCTGTTGCATTCACTGAACACGGGAAATTACAGTGCTGCCGTCCTCTCTTGTGTCATGATGAGGTTCACGTAAAGCACGGTTAATGTATTATATTATTGAGGGAGAATTGTCCGGGGCTACAGAAAAAACATTCGGGGCTAAAGCCCCGGATGCCCAGGCCAGGCGACGCCACTGCTCCTTCTCTATTCCCACAAGCCTATCATAGAGCATTGCTAACCCTTTAAATCTGCTCTCTCCCCTCCTGACAGCTGTCATTTCAGGAGACTGGACGCAGCCCTCCTCCACCCCTTCCACCTCCCAAATCCAGGGTCAAGCTTAAACCAGTCCTCTCCAGACCTCCATCAATCTCTTCATGCCTTCACCACCGCCAGTGTGTGGGGGGGTTTCATCGGATCCCCCCCCCCGAATGATATTCCAGTAGGGTCTAGTTGCCAAACACCATTACATTCATCCGTTTATACCCGGCAATAGATATGTATTGTTACATCAAAACAGTCTCTCCTGATTGAAATGACAATAAAGCCTAAAGTCATACTCACATGTATCAGTTATTAAAGTAAGTTAAATTAAAGTGCTCGTGAATTGTCAACGGGGGTTCTGTGATTCTCCAGATTCTGCTGCAGCACCCCTACTTCCCGCGGCAATGAAGTTAAACCCAATACTCACATTTATCAGTTATTAAAGTAAGTTAAACCCAATACTCACATGTATCAGTTATTAAAGTAAGTTAAACCCGATACTCACATTGATCAGTTACTCCTGACGTGCTGCTTTCTCTCTGAGACCGAACCGACATTTTCTTTGTTTCCTCGTCACCGGCGCGCATTGCATCCTGGGATACGGTGGGCTGCGAGGAAGAGGACTCTTCAAATCCGGGAAAAGAAGAAGGCCGCATTCCAACCCGCCCCTCCCCCCTCTCTTCTGTCTGTCCGCAGAATCAGAAGTCCTTTATTGGTCCCACAGAGGGACATTAACATGGTTACAGCAACAGTGGAGATAGATGCTGCTCCCAGACCGTAGTGGAGGAATACAGGGGAGGACTCTCTGCAGTCTTCCCGGACTGAAGCACCAGGCTTCGGCTTCAATAACCCACTCTGAAATGAGGCAGACAGGCAGGCTGTTCCTTGGGAGGCCGCTGTGTTTCCTCAGGACTTTGTTATTCAGCTAACTGGAGACAGACTGATCACTGCTGCTACTCCCGCTCTCTTCCGGACACACACTACGCTCGCTCACTCTCACTCTAGACATGCACGCGCCACTTGCACGCGCCACACCTCCCTCTCTCTCTCTTAAAGGGATAGGCGACCCCACTCTGCATCACCCGAGTAGTATGAAGCTGCAGCCTCGGAGGAGGATGCACTCTCAGGACCGCATGCACTCTCAGGACCGCTTGCACTCTCAGGATCGCATGCACTCTCAGGACCCTAGTTGTTTTGCAACATCGCCACCTAGCGGATTGGATGACCGCAAAAGTACAACCAGCGAGTATTGAGTCTCATACACTGCGAGTCTCTTTAGACATTGTAATGCTTGTTATTAACCATCTAAAAATGCATGAAAATATGTTTTTCTTACTGAAATTACATTATTATTATTAACAACAAGTTGTTAATATGTTTTTGATTTTTAATAACAAATGTATTTTGTATGTCAGATGTAAAAAGATAGTCTTTTATATTTGTCTTTATCAAATTTGACATACAACATAAATATATATATATATATATATATATATTGTAGTAATAATGATATAATCTATTTATAATTGTAAATGTATATTGTATGTAGACATACATTTAGATGTATATTTTGTTAAAAGAAAACTGTTAATTTAGTTTTTGGGAGAAGGGGTGGGGTTAAATAAGTGTAAACTCCTTTGAATCAATTTGATACTGCTTATGTTTCTACAGTATCATAATTCTCTTGTTTCATTTCATTATTATATATATATATTTTTTATTGTATTACACGTTCCAAATAAATCAAATCAAATGTGTCTTTGAAGAGGTGCTAGATTACTCAAAAACAACTGTTAGTGTGTTTATGCACCAGGCTGCAAAAGATAAACATGCAATTTGACGAGAGGAATTTCAGTGCAGAATACATTTTTATTTATTGGGCACTGTGGATTCTTCACTGGGGTGAGGCGGGGTCTGCTGTTCCCTCAACCACCAGACAACAGCTCCAGCTGCAGTACCCCGGGAAGCCCTCTTCTGAGTAAAAACCCTGCAACACTCCTCGCCGTCCACTTCCCCGGTAGCCTGTGCCAACGTCCTTATAAAGGTTGTCGCAGTAAAAGCACCTGGAAATTTGGTATTCCTTCCGAAATTCCCTTTTGTGTCCCTCTGAGAAGACATTCCAGTTGACAACACCTGAAGTAGAATGTCATAAGAAAATTACAATTCAGACAGAAAAACAACAAAACCTTCCTTAATTTAGCTGACCTTACTCTTAGTCAATCAACTTCATAATACTAGGATAGGAGAAGGCAGAAGTAAAGACACTTTATAAACTTACTGTCAAGCCAGTTGAAGTGGGCTTCCTTTTGGAATGACCCCTGGCTCACGATGTATTTAAAGGTCTTGCAGGTAAGGGCTAGCGTGCAGATTGCAGGATCTCCATCCTCAAGAACGACAAATGTAAGGATCCTGCGGATTATGCCTTCAGGCAGCTGTAGATATAAAACACGATTTAATACGAATTCCTTTCAAGCTACATTGTCTCTACTGTCAAAACTAAAGTAATTGTAAATACATGCCTGCAATATGCCAATGGCCACCTTCTCCTGGGAGACATCCTTACTGGCACTCTGTCATGGCACTCTGAAAACTGGCTGAAGGGTTCCCTCGAGCAAGCTTCTGGCCTCCAGAGTCCAGAAGGCAAACCTTTGGCCGTGCCTTTGAAACAATAAGAACAAGATGTAATCTAAAGTATTGCATAGGGAAAGGCTAAGGCATTGGTGCACAATTGATATGCATTAATAATCTCAACAGATATTGCCATCCAGAGTCTTACAGCTCTTGTTACTGATGGTCTACTGATCTGTAGATGGTTAACCTAATATAACTAACAGATGTTCTATTGACATGCTACTGAGTTTGTTGAGAGATTGTAGATAATCTACAAGTGACCCTCAAAATTAAGTGTTACTGAAATTAAAACACACATATTGTTAAGGGCTTTCATACCCTTGTATTTCAAAACGCTCCATGAGAAGAAGACACCACCACTTCCGAATCAAAGGCATGTCCATCTGAATGAAATGTGAAAGTGACAAAGACATTTTTTGATTCACAATGTCCATAATAAATCATTTTTCTTCAAGATGAACAGTATGATGAAACATAAGCAACACTTTAATTAGGCATTTACTTCTTTGGTAAAAAAAAATCATAAACTAACCTCCTGGAATTCAAACCCGGCGCTTGTAACAATGGATAGAGTATACTGGAACAAAGAAGATGGAAAACAAAGCATTATATTTACAATGTTTACAGAAGCCTGCAAACGTACCAACTGATACCCTACCATAAGCATAAAAATCCCACAGTCATTTCCACAGATCTGGCGTGGCAAGCCCTAAAATCAACAACAAAAAAAGATAACATTAAATACATGACTGATAGATAAACCCCAAGTCTTCTCTGTCACATGATGATGTTTACATGATGTGCAGAGTACGGGAAATAGTAATTTATCTTTGCAGTAGCTATGGATTTATTATTAATATTTGTTGTGCATTCACCGCAATATCATGCCCAGTCTTCTCAGTCCAGCTCCCTGGATCAATCTGCTGAGCAAGATTTCTACAAGACAAAAATGTAAAGATTAACAAAAAGAAATTTTGGAATTCATAATGTTAAAGTTATTTGATACTTGTGCACATAAGTCTACAGTAGCTGCCACATATCTTTGTCAAAATTGCCTTGCAGTACCGGCATGAACAGATCTTTAAAAAGATAGCAATTATTTCCTAAAATCAGAGAAAAGCTCACACATCAGAGAAAAGCAATATCAAATCATTTCAAACAGATATATGTGACAACCACTGAGACATTAGGAACCAAAACATACCAGTACAGGCTATAGGAACGTAGCCAAAATGTAATGTGCCATATGAACGTGGCGAACAGTATGTCTCATCTGTTGACCTAAAAATTGCTCTGTACTCAGCATCACCAAACCCAGACTCGTGCAAGGTGTACTGCGAGTCTAAAAAGATCATCTCTCTCAGGAGTGGCTTCATGATCTATAATATGGTAATGAGTAAAGAGATGCACAAGAGTTTACAAGTCATTAGGACAGGGAGTAGAGTTGTAGTTGACTCTGTTGGAATACACATGAATTAACAAGTAACAGTTGACATTTAAAGGAGTCAAATTATGAAATAGTTGTAATAATAAATGGAAAGAATTCAGTAATATGTGTAAGTTCATGAAAATGTTCAAAAACATTACATTTAAAATGATGCAAAAGTTGTGACCAACACTGAGAAATGACTGACATTTATGGTCGGTCTTTGTTTTGTTTACCTGTTACTAACTAATTACCAGTATTATTATAGACACTAGTGTCAGTAAACAGTTTAGTTACAGTAAAATGTCCTTACACAGAGTACAAAGTGTCCTGGCCCATTTGCATTGGTCCATGCCGGAAAGACTAAGAAGTCTTTCATGTTGATATCCTCCTAACATTTATGAAACAACATCTTGTTATTATGTAAATCTACAATTTTGAACCAGAATAGTTGTTAACTTTAAACAAACAACATGATTCACATTACTCACACTCTTACTGTAATTAGTGATTAAATCAACAATTAATGTAGGACACCTAGTTGGGCTTGCCAAAATCACGCTACAGTTTCATTAAACAAATAATCAAATATGCTAATGAAGCTAATGCTATTAGCATTAGCTTTTGCCGAAAGCTATAGCTAACAAATAATTGTTTTTAGTGCCTTTAATACTGTTAGAAGCTATCATAAGCTAACAGATGTTTGTTTGTATTGCCTTAAGACTATCATAGTTAATGTTAGCTAATCACACTTAATTTCAAGACACCGGAATTGTTATTAATGTTAAACAAATAAAACTTTAAAAGCACTTCACACTACTCACACTCTCTGCGTTGTCGTTCATATTCATGTCTCCTGCTCACTAGGTGGCGATGTTGCAAAACAACTAGGGTCCTGAGAGTGCATGCGGTCCTGAGAGTGCATCCTCCTCCGAGGCTGCAGCTTCATACTATTGCATCACCCTGCTATTATAAGATAGATAGATAGAGAGATAGAGAGATAGAGAGATAGAGAGATAGATAGAGAGATAGAGAGATAGAGAGAGAGATAGAGAGATAGAGAGATAGATAGATAGATAGATAGATAGAGATAGATAGATAGAGAGATAGATAGATAGATAGAGAGATAGAGAGATAGAGAGAGAGATAGAGAGATAGAGAGATAGATAGATAGATAGATAGATAGAGAGAGAGATAGAGAGATAGATAGATAGATAGAGAGATAGATAGAGAGATAGATAGATAGATAGAGAGATAGAGAGATAGATAGAGAGATAGAGAGATAGAGAGATAGATAGATAGATAGATAGAGAGATAGAGAGATAGAGAGATAGATAGAGAGATAGAGAGATAGACAGATAGATAGATAGATAGATAGATCATATCATATATATCAGGCTTGTTAGAGCCATTTTCTGTGTTGACAATGAGTGTATTATTTTCTTATTAATTTAGATCTTAATATATTCTTTCCATTTATGTATTAGTACCGAATTAAATATTTGGAGGAAAACTTTGATTTACTGTGAGCCACACCTGTTATATAAGGAAGGGGTGGGACTGAGCGTGACGTGGAAATCGTCTCCAGCAATGAACGGGGAATCGGAACAGTCTTTGACCTCACGTTACACTGATCATTTTGTTTATTTTGTTTGTTTAAATATATGGAAGCAAATAAATCGGCCAAAGAAGGCAAAGAAATCAGCGCCTCCAGAGCTTTATTTGGATGGTTTTTAACGTGTGAGTCAAGAAGCGGATCCCTGTTGACGTGGCACAGTTTTAGATAACCCACAAGAATGGGCCACGACCAGTGGCGGCCGGTCCATAGGGGTGCTAGGGGCGCCGCCCCACCTCTTCCCATATTAAAAAATAAAAATAAAAATAAAAATAAAAATAAAAAATATATTTTAAAAAATATATATATTTTTA